TAATGTATTCACTAACCTACAGGATCCTTTTAGATTTCTCTAACTATTAAAAATGTACTCTAGATGGAATCACCAGTTTTTATCTTTTATCTTTTGTAAATACTCAAATAAAATTTTTAAAATATATTTTAATATATGAAATAATTGTTTTAAATCTTAAATATTTTGCTCAAATGCAATTAAAAAATGGTCTTCATGATCATTTAGTAATTGGGTAACTAGTATGAAAAAACTAGTTTCTAAAATATATAACTAATAGCTTAATCTGAATACAATGGTGCATAATTTGTCTATGTGAAAATTATAGTGAGCCTAGACTTTTAACTATGTACTTGAATCAAATTATAGACCATGGCTACTCTATATAAATTAAGTCCTCATGAAAAAAATATTAACATCCCAAACTAATATTCTGGGTAAACATCCAAGCAATGAACAAACTACTCCAAACAACAAAATTCATGTTTAATACTTACACTGTGAAAATACTTATCCCCTCAGACAAAATTACAAAATTGTTGAATGATTCTGTTTTCAATAAGCTACATATGCCCAATGTACATCCAAAAAGGTAGTTAAGTGGGGCTGGGCATGGTGGCTCATGCCTTTAATCTCCCAGCACTTTGGGAGGCCAAGGTCAGAGGATGACTTGATGCCAAGAGTTCCAAACCAGGCTGTCAACAAAATAGCAAGACCTTGCCTTTATCAAACAAACAGACAAATCAAAAAGGTAGTTAAGAGTTGCTCAAAAACATGTTAGTGGTAAACTTAGTTGGGTAATGAAATCCTACTGCTGAGAACAGTTACTCAGGGACACATAAACCACAAGGAGAGAGGTAGGACCATTTTAAAAAGCAAGCAGTTAAACCCAACAACAACAACAACAACAACAACGCACAAAGAAAAGCCCAGGCCCAGACAGCTTCACTGGGGAATTCAACCAAATACTTCAAGAGGAATCAATACAAATTCTTGACAAACTTCCAAAAATAGAAGAGGAGAGAACACTTCCCAATTCATTCGATGAGGCCAGTATTACCGATATCAAAACTAGACAAACACTTTAAGAAAACTACAGACCAATATCAACTAGACATAAAAATCCTCAAGAAAATGCTAGCAAACCAAATCCAGAAACACACAAAAAAGAGTATATGCACCGAAGTAGTGGGATTTATTTCATGAACACAAGTTTGATTCAACATACAAAAATCAATTTGTGTGATACATCATACCAACAGAACAAAAGACAAAACCAAATCATCAAAATGGAAGAGAATCTGACAATATCCAATACCATTTCGTGACAAAAACACTAACCACAACAACAAAAAAGTTCAACAAACTAGGTATGGAAAAAAACTTACTGAATCTGATAGAGCATCCATGAAAAACCCACAGCCAACAACATATTTAATGGTGAATGACTGAATGCTTTTCCCCAAGATCAGGAACAAAATTAGGATGCCCACTCTTGCCATTTCTACTCAACATTGTTAGAGGTTCTACGCCAAGGCAATTAGGTAAGAAAAAGAAATAGAGGTATCCAGATTAGGAAAAATGAAGTAAAACTATTTCCATTTGCAGGTGAAATATCCTACTAATTCTCGTAGTTTTTAGTGGATTCTTTGGGATTCATAAATATATGGGATATCCTGCTACACCCTTCTATATATGGGCTATCTTGCTATATCCTGTATTTAGAAAATCCCAAGGAATTCACTAAGAACTATGAGAATTAGTACGTTCAGCAAGGATGTAGATTCAAAATCAAAAATAAACAAAAATCAACTGTATTCAGTTGCAATACGAAACCCAAAAATATTATAAAAGAGAACAATTCTATTTACAACAGAGAAGTTTCTAAGGCATTAATACTTAGGAATAAATTTAACAAAAAAGTGCCAAATTTAGACTCTGAAAACTACAAAACATCACTGAGAAATTAAAGAGGATCTGTATCTATAGAAGGACACTCCATGTTCAGAGATCAGAAGACTTAATTAACATAAAGATGGGAGTACTCTCAAAATCAATCTAGAGATTCAGTACAATCCCTATCCAAATCTTAGGTGGCTCCTTGCAGGAACTGACAAGCTGATCCTAAAATTTCATATGAAAATTCAAGGAGCAAAGAACAACCAAAATAATCTTGAAAAGCAAGAAGGAAAGAAGAGTACTTACACTTCCCAATTTCAAAACTTACTATAAAGCTACAGTAATCAAGACAAAGTGGTACTGGCATAAGGATAAATGTATAGATCAATGGAATAAAATAGGGTCCAGAAATAAACCCTATAGTTACACTGATATTCAATATGAGTGACAAAATAATTCAATGGGAAAAAATAGTCTTTCCAACAAATGATGCTGTAACAACTGAATGTCCACATGTAAAAGAACAAAGCTAGACCCCTGCCTCATATCACACACAAAAACCACCTTAAAATGGATCAAACACCTAAATGTTAAGAGCTAAAACTACAAAACTAGTAGAAGAAAATATAGGAGTGAATTTTCATGACCTTGGATTAGCAATGGTTTCTAAGGTATATACATAACAGAAATAAAAACATACGTCGCTTTTTCGCAACGGGTTTGCCGCCAGAACACAGGTGTCGTGAAAACTACCCCTAAAAGCCAAAATGGGAAAGGAAAAGACTCATATCAACATTGTCGTCATTGGACACGTAGATTCGGGCAAGTCCACCACTACTGGCCATCTGATCTACAAATGCGGGGGCATCGACAAAAGAACCATTGAAAAATTTGAGAAGGAGGCTGCTGAGATGGGAAAGGGCTCCTTCAAGTATGCCTGGGTCTTGGATAAACTGAAAGCTGAGCGGGAACGTGGTATCACCATTGATATCTCCTTGTGGAAATTTGAGACCAGCAAGTATTATGTGACTATCATTGATGCTCCAGGACACAGAGACTTCATCAAAAACATGATTACAGGGACATCTCAGGCTGACTGTGCTGTCCTGATTGTTGCTGCTGGTGTTGGTGAATTTGAAGCTGGTATCTCCAAGAATGGGCAGACCCGAGAGCATGCTCTTCTGGCTTACAC